AATTCCCACCCCCTAAGAGTGAGCCTATTATATGCCCCACCCTGTATATGAAAACGAAACAAAAAAAAACTGTATCCAATTAAATACGGTAAAATGGCTAATTATGCAATAAAACGCGAGTCTAACACAAAATGTGCACAAAGCACTATGAGAAGCCAACCATCAACAGAGAGAATGAATGTGAAAGATGAAAAGCAAAAATACAGCCAAATCAGTGGCTCACTTGTTAAGCATAAACGGTAATATAAAACCATCAAATTGTAAACACAAACGTGATTTGACACATAATAAAAGTCCAATAAAAAAAAGCGTAAGTAGACTGAATGCACGAAGGGAAACAATGAAAAAGAGCGAAGAAAACAAACGCACAATGAGACACACACACGCAGACAGATAGAAACAATAACCAAAATTTCACGACTTGTGTGTATGCGTGTGTTGTCAGCCGCGTCGAAAAATGTGTGTCAATAGGCGAATTTTTGATTGTTATGAATTATCGAAGTTCTCATGAAAATAATTTGCCAATAAAAAACCAAGGCACCCGGATCGGTTGCAATGTATTTTTGATCGCTGATTTTATTTCAAATCGATTTAATTGCGCACTGGGTAAGTACTTTATTTTTTCCTTTTCTGCAAAACGTGCCGGCATATTATTATTACACGACCGATTTAACATTTGCTCGATGAAATAAACAAACACGACTGAATGTCATGGATGTGTTTTGGAATCCTTTTACCCTGTGTCAACTTGATGCTTAGGTATAGCTACGGAAGAGCAAGATTTCCGAATTTTTTTTATCTTTATTTATTGCATGCCATAAATGTGAACAATCCTAAAAAAACGCAACAAAAACATATACACATAGTAATTTGCTTTAAAAAAAAACCCTTTCGCCTGCATATCTCACACTCTTTCGTTTCTCTCGTCTCTATTTTTGTGTTAACCAAAATATTTCTTTCTTCATTTCATTGTTTATTCTATCTATCTCTCTCTGTGTGTGTTGCATATGAATATGCATATGGGGACGCAATAACCCATGAAATATTCTCATTTTTTGCGCTCGCTGCTGGAATTTGTAGCAACTATGGTGACAAGCACATATGAACGATATGTGAAAGAAGAGCATTTTTGAACGAACCATGAAAAATGGAACGCAAAAAAAGGTGAACAATGAATGCTGTTTTTTCTTCTGTTTTGTTCAAAAAAACAAAGCACAACTCTTTGCTTTTCTCTGAAAAAACATATTGCTCTAGAAAAAAATGGTCCTCTTTTCTACCAAAAAATGTATTGAATTTGTCTAGCATGTTATAAAACATTTTTTTTTCTTATGCAATATTTTGCCATATTTTTCATTTTGAATAGAATAAAAAAC